CGTTCCTATACTTAAATATAAGAATTATATCGCCGCTTAGGAGTCGTCGCGCGACTATTACGTCTATATAGCGGGCGATTTAGTTAACCGCCTTAGTAATCTCTTATAGGGTTCGGCTTTTAAGGTCGGTCTCGGCGTCTCCGTATCGGACTATTAGCTCTTAGGTATATCGGGTAGGTATAACCTTTACCGGTGCTATCTTAATACATTAGCACTATGCGGGCGTGCTCCCTACTACTTAGGTATAGGTCTTAGGTCCTACTACTCCGAGTAGTTCTATTAGTATACCCTTGATCGCTTATTAGATTATATCGATAAGCCCTTTAGTTATAAGGGGGGGTATATCGCTACTGGGTTATTAGCGTAGCGGCTTCCCTATAATAGTCTTATAGTATTATATTTAAAGGATCTTCTATATTAGCTTAACGTCTTATCGGCGTTTACCCTATTAGCCAGTAGTCCGGAAAATTAGGTACGTAGTTTATATAGTACGCTTTTAGTACGCCTGCTCGGTGCCTAGGATTTTTAGGGCTCTCCCGGGGCTACGCGCCCCGGGTTAGTTTTAGTCGTTATATTCTAGGCGCTCTATAGTAGTATACTAGTATCGCGTTCGGTTAGCTCTACAGGCTGCCCTATATTATATAACTCACCGCGCCCTCTACAGCCTCGCTACGATATTGGTCTCCGGTGCTTTTAAGGGCGTAGAGTCCGAATCCGATATCAGAATTGATTGTATCGATAATACGGCACCTTAGGGTTACTTTCGGCTTGACGATGCTCTTTTTTCTAGTTAATTTATAACTTAGTAATTAAAGGATACCCCGGACACGAAAACACTATCGTCTTAATAGCGTATCGCTTTTTCTAGCTAAGGATAAATAAGGATATCCGATAATTTATCCGGAACTATAACGTTTACAGAAAGGGGTATATATAGAGGAACACGAAATAAGGCCTTTCATGCCCCCTCCTAGTACTAGAACGAATACGGAGCGATTTATTAATAGACTTTATAACGGACCTACTACTAGCCGGCGAGAAGAAAGCGCGCTACTTTTAGATTATTATAGATTACCTAACTAAAGCTATAATATTAAAAGCGATAAAGATAATAAAAGCCGAAGCTTACGCAGAATAGTTTCTATACTATTATTTCCGGTTTTATAGAATACCTAAGTCGATCATTAATAACCGAGGTTTAGACTAAATAAATAGGTTCTAGAAGCACTTTTATAAGCTCGCACGAATATCACGTAAGCTTATTATAGTATACTACCCCTAGACCGATAGAGTAATAGAGCATATAAACTAAGAAGTATAAGCCTATTTACGAGCTTTTATCTATTACGCTTAAGACGACTAGGATCGCCTATTACCCGCGGTATAACTGGTCTTAAATAACCGCGAGAGCTTTATAACAGGGTTTAGTCCCTTTTTCTTAGAATATAGCTACTATATTAACCCGATCTAAATAACCGAGGAGCCCCCTATACAACCTAGAATATTAGTAGCCTATAACCTATTACGCCGCTTATAGGAAGTAACTAAGTTTATTTAGGCCGTGATAGTGTTAATATAGCTTTAGAATAAAGAGTCTACTAACTAATATCGTATACTAGCTAAGCGTTTTAAGGTTAACGACTTAGTTTAGCTATTATTATCTAACTACTCGACTCCACGATTATCCTATAAGCTTAATTAGCTTTATCGTAAATACCGAGTTATAAAGATAATTAGCCTATATAGAGTTAAGCTTACTATAGTATTATAGATTTACCTCTAATACTATATAGACTTATTATATCGCGCGGGCGATAATCCCTTTCCGGAATAGGTAATAAACGACCCTTAACTACCGCCTATTTAAAAAGTAACCGATAATAAAGAATAGAAAGTTACCGAAACCCCTATATAAGCATAAAAAGACGAGGTAGGGGATTAAGATATAAGGTACTAGTATAATAGATAGGATACTATAAGCCTATATAGGAACCGCTAGAACTATTAGCGTAAACGCGGGCACTTAATAAGTTTAAAAAGAAATTCGGCTTAGTAATAATAAATAATAGCCTCTTAAATACCTTTACGCTATTACGATATAGGAGCCGATATATAAGTAATCGTATCGCGATAATCGGAAAGGAGTAAAAGTTAGATTTAGTTTAGGCCGGATGAGCCCCGCGCCTTAGCTACGCTTAATATAAGCTTAGATTAATATCCTCGGCCTCGAAATCGCTATCCTCGGAATTATTAACTTTCATAAAAGTCTTACCTTTATCGCCCCGCTATAAATCAGAGTCCGTCTCCTTAACCTTATTATTATCTTTATTATCGTCTTTATTATCGCTATTATTAGGGATTATAACCGCGCTAATAATGGTTATACCCGTAAGCGTAAAAGCCCGCCTCCGCTCCGCGAATTATTAGAGTTTAGAGATTATAATATTAGCGCGACTAAGTATAAGTATCTCCCTAAATAGCCGAGTATACTCCCTTAGCTTTATAAGACTAAAGCGTCTAAAGTCTTTATCCGATAATATCGACTCCGACAAAGGAGCGGGAGTAATAGGATAAGTATTCTTTTCTGCTATAATATTAAAAGGGATTAGGCCCAAAACTAATACTTTACCTATAACCTTATAAAAAGGAGATAAGGCTAGCTATTCCGCCCTAATAGTAACCTCCTCCGGAGGCGATAAGTTTAGTCCTAACGCTATCTTTTTTAAAACCCCTAAAGGAGGAAAAAAGACCGGCGTAATTACCTTATAAACGATCTCCGTTACCGGAGGAAGCGAGGCTAGTTTAGTTACCTCATTAATAACCTTAGGAAAAGATAGTAAGGCTAATTACGGTATTATCTTTTCTTAGACCTCCTAAGGAGGAGAAAGGGCTAACACGACTATTATATTAAAAGCCTCCGCGGGATATATAGCTATAGGTAATATCGCCGTTATCGCTTCCCTAGCTATAAGGGTATCCTAGAACGCCGTGTAGGCGTTAAGATATAGTTCTTATTCCTAAAAAAAAGGTTAGCGATACGGTCATAACCTTAAAGGGGGAGGAGGTCTTATAAGGGTATTCTTATTATTATCGCTAATAAGGGTAGCTATTTTAAATAACCTTTACGCGTAGCCTTTAAGGTATATTAGGAGAGGAGTATACCGATATATCTTCGTAGAGTATATATAGTATTTCTTCCCCCGATTAGTCTAGCTACGATAAAGGCGCTTATACTTTCTATTAGTAATATCGCGCGTATCAAAAAGGTATAGCTTAGTATAAACACTACTAGGAGGGTGCTTAGGAGGCTAACTACCCGCTAACTTCTTCTTTTTAGGCAGCGGCGATAACCTAAACTATTATATAGTTAATATCGCCTTAAGGTATAAGAGTATTATACCTATATCGTTATTAGCGGTACGCTTACTACTATTATTACCCCTATTATCGCTAGGGGCTAGCGCTATCTATAAAACGATATAAGTTAGTAAAGGGTTCCTTATAAAAAGATCGCGAGTAAAAGACGGCTTACCTTAGATAGGGAACTCTTAAACTAGCCGAGTATTACTAATATTATCTAAGGATAGGAGAAGTTAAAGAAATTATCGCTATAAGGAAAAACGAATACGTACGGAACCGCTATTACTATTATTATTATTATTAAAGGTAAAGAGGGGAATAAAGGAAAAAAGAGCCTAGAAGGAAAACAGAGCCGATATATCTACGGATAGTATCTATATAAGAGAGGCCTATATTACTATTTCGGGTATATAAATAAAGGTTAGTAAGCGACCTAAGATTTCTTCAATATTAAAGTAAGGGTAAAGTAAGATAAAAGGACACGATTATTCCTTTATTACCGCGACGTAAGGGGGAGCCGAGCTATAATAAGGATCCGGCTATACTCCGGATCTTCCTAACTACGCGCTTAGTTAACGGACCTATATCGCCTAGTTATCGCCACCTTATAGCTAGCCCAGCGCTATAGACTTTTCTCCTTTTCCTTTCTCCTTCCTTAGTTCTAGATAATCTATTATTACGACCTTACTTAGTGCCACGACCTATAACCAGTCGTTTATAGCCTACGACCTCGACCCTGCCCCCTAGATTAAGGCCCTAACTATAGGGCTTAAATCTACTATTAATAGAACCCTAAGCTCTTAGCCACCTACGCTTAAATAGAAGGTCGACGAACTAGCTTAGGCAGTTTATAGGCTTATAGAATAGTCTAAACCCCTTTATAGTAAGGCTTTAAAGGAGAAAAAAGGCTTTATAGTGCCCTAGGCCCCTGTTTTAGGGGCTTTAGCACCTTTAGCCTCTACCCCCCCGGCACCCCTTCTAATAGACTCTAAAAAGGACCCTAAGGTTATTCTATAACCTATAGCAGGGCCCGTGATTCCCCGGGAAGACTTTGATCCTCTTAAGCTCCGAAATAGACTTAATAAGGCCTTAAAACCCCCTTTAGTCCCCCTAGCCTATAGGCGACTAGTTTAAGCTTATTATTAGATAAATACCTACTAGAGCCTTTAGGGGTGGTGATACCCCGATACCCGACCCTTCCGAGCCACCGTAAAAGGCCCTAAACCGAAGCCTATAACAGGGCCTAGGTTTAAAGGACCTAGTCACTAAAATCGGCACCTTTAACCCTGTTAGGGTAGTAGGGAAGCTTCGGTGGCTAAGGGCTCCGAACGCGTTTTACGGCACTATTATTATATCTATATCGCCTACTAAAAAGCAGAAGTACTATCTAAAACAGTGGCTTTATATAGCCGGCCAGCGGCTATAAATCTATAAATCTAGACCTGTAACCCCTAGAACCCAGTGCTCTAACTGCTGGAAATTCGGGTATACCCGGGGGACCTATAAGAGCCTAGTTACCTGCCCTATCTGCGCTATTAAAGGCCACGGGGAAGAACACCACTACTATAACGAATATAAAGAGTACGGAGCCTATGGATTATAGTTCAGTATCTCGCCTACTTCTACTCTCCCACTCCCACTTTTCATAACGCTTACTTCTTTCTATACTATTCTCTCCCTCAACCCAGCCGTTGAAGTGTTGCTGTTGAGAATCCCTTACCCTTACCAACTTGCCTTTTCTTCTCTCCAGAAGTGCATTGCATTGCCCCACCGCGCATACCAGCTCGACAGGGCGATCGCCCTGTCTTCTCTCTACACCATGGCGAAGAAGGCTCGCCAGAGAATTAGCTATGGTATGTCGCACTTCCTAGAACCCGGAAATGGTCCCTCCAATCAAATACGCTGTCCTGTCTTGATTACATGCCGACTTGTGCGCCCCCCTCGCTTGACGGCACAGCATGGCTTCCCTTCCCGTGTATCACAGCTTGCGACAGGTCATCGACGGCTAGAACCGCGCGCAATGTCGAACCTCGAATGCTGACCTCCCGGTCCGCAACGCGTAGTCCTCGACGTCCCCAATTCCCAACCTGGCGGTCACCGACTCGGCGTGAATGGTCTGGACATTGACAAGGACAATGCCATTCTGTACGGCCCCCCCCCCCCCCCCCCCCCCCCCCCCCCCCTTCGCCGTCCCCTACTCTCTCCTTTCCAGGGCTAGCTTCCCTTTTCCTCCCCCCCACCGAGCTTCCTGGGCTGACTCCTGCAATTCTCCAGCTATTCCGGCGGCCGTGATGGCGTCGTTTGCGCGTGGGACGTCCTCGACATGAAAAAAGACGCCTCGACCCATGCCGACACTGACCCAGATGCGAAACCGAAGCCCCGCTCCAAGTTCCGTGCTCAGACCCAAGCCCACACGCACTGGGTAAACGACATCGTCCTTGCCCAGAATAATTCGGCCCTCGTTTCCGCCTCGTCCGACCTGACCGTCAAAGTCTGGCGCCCTCTTTCCGAGTCCCAGCCACAAGACAGTTTCAAAATTGGCCAGCATGCCGACTATGTCAAGCGCGTCGCATCGCCTCGTGGCGCCAGCTGGGTGGCCTCGGGCGGCCTCGACCGCAAGATATACCTATGGGACCTCAACGGCGCCGGGAAGATACTCGAGATCGACACCAGGGGGGAGGAGGTCGCCGCGAAGGGATCCGTCTACGCCCTCAGCGCCCATCACCGCATGATAGCCAATGGCGGCCCCGAGTCGATCGTGCGCCTCTGGGATCCCCGCACCGGCAACAGCATCACCAAGTTCGTTGGCCACACCGACGTCATACGCTCAATCCTCATTAGCGAGGCCGGAGACACCGTCCTCACGGCCTGCTCCGACCAGACCATCAAGCTTTGGAGCGTCACCGCTGGACGTTGCATGTACACCTTCACCATGCATAACCACTCGGTCTGGTCCCTCTACTCGGAGCACCCCGACCTGGGCATCTTCTACAGCAGCGACCGCGGCGGCCTCGTCGTCAAGACGGATGTGCGCGGCTCCCTCGACGACTTGGACCACGGCCTATCTTTGGCCGTGGCCCAGGAGCAGGAGGGCGTCATGAAGGTCTTGGCCGCCCGCAACCACATTTGGACCGCCACCTCGACATCCTCCATCAACCGCTGGCCCGACGTGAGCACGGACGCCAACATCCAGCTGCCTCCTACTCTTCGCCATCGCCGCGCCGCCTCCGCCGGGACGACCCGATCCAGGCATCCACAGGCAGCTTCTTCTTCTTCATCCCCTCCTCTCTCTAGTGACTCGGCGGCCGCCGATAGGAGGGAGGTCCCGGTCATACCGGCGAAGTCCATCCTCAGGATTTCGAACACGGCATCTTTCCCGGAGCCCGGGGATCCTGGCTCGGAAATCCCCATCGAGTCGGATTCCTCTGCCCCCGAGCCCATTTATCACCTCCCGGAAGAAACCATCGAAGGCCAATTCGGTCTGGTGAAGCACAAGCTCTTGAATGATAGGAGGAGAGTCTTGACGCTGGACACGGCTGGTGATGTTTTGCTTTGGGATCTGATCAAGGTTGGCCCCTCCATTTTCGTTTTTCGTTTTTCCTTTGTTCTTTTTTGTGAACCGTCCACCCGTTGACTCGACATGTGTAGTGCGAGGTCACCCAAAGCTACGGTAAGCGGCATCTAGAAGACGTGGAACCGGAAGTCAATACCCTAGAAGCTGTTGCGCCGTGGTGCTCCATCGATACCAGTTCGGGAAGCCTTACTGTGGTACTCGAGCCGGTCAACTGCTTCGACGCGGAAATGTACGCCGATGAGCTGACGACGGAGGAACTTGTGGAGTTCCGGGAAGACCAACGAAGTAAGTCGGATGAAGAGAATGCTTTCGGCACCTGGCCCCGCCCCCAACTATCGATCCATTGCCTTTGTCTGACGTCCATCTCCTTTCTCCTCATCGCGCACAGTCAATCTGGGGAAGTGGGTTCTTCGCTACCTCTTCGCCAAGGTCATCGACGAGGAGATCAAGCGTGATGAAGCCCACCGACGGCTTCTCAACGACGGAGTAGAGAGGAGGAGAGTGGCGGCAAAGCGGGCAAACGCGCCAACGTCTATTGAGCTCCCTTCGGCCGCGGCCGCTTTTGAGGGCGCAGATCCCCTGAGCACGCCACGTGTGCACGGCGGCCAACCCCCCCCGCTGACACCGGGGCTGGCAATTGGCATGGCAAGTCCTGCACTACCCCGACTCCAAGATGTCCCCGAGAGTGCTGTGACACCCACGAGCCCTGTAGAGAGGAAGATATCTCTATTCGGCCGACCATCGGCAGACATTAGCAGCAAGGAAGACTATTTCTCGGGCCCTGTTGGTTCTCCCGAGGGGACGAAGCAGACCGGTGGCGTCCTGGGCACGCCGGCAGAACAAGCAGCGGCCGAGGCCAAGTCGCCAGGTGGCAGCGAGAAGGACAAGGATGGCGGCAACGGGAAATCGCCCAGCACGCCGTTCGGGAAAAAGTTCCGCATGGGCATGGGCATGGGCATGGCTAAGAAGATGATGCGATCTGCCTCGACAGCCACGGCGGAGAAGCAAGCGGCGGTGGATGAGAGGGCCGAAGAGTCGGAATCGTCATCGTCGGCGCACGAGAAGGAGGTCGATGACAGTTTTTTCGGAGTCATCCAGCGGATCCGGAACGAGTATGACAAACAGCTGACCGAGAACCCCGACAAGCTTGTGGAAACCAAGATCACTCCGAGCCTGCCCAACGATACCCCTGTTCTGAAGCTCCCTCCCGGCACGAAAGTCATTATCCAGGAGGAGACGTCAGGAGGGAGCGCCAACCTCTACCAGGGAACGGCGGAGACGGTTGGTAACGACACGGACATGATTGAGCAGCGGGGGCCGATGTGGCTGGGCGAAGTGCTGCTACAGAACCAGACGCCGCAGAAGGAACCGGCCAAGATATCCTTCGTGCTGCAGCCGTGGGACAGTTCGCTTCCGGACCTGGGCGCTGCCGACGGGAACAACCGGTTGAACGCGAACAGGATGCTGCGCGTGAAGAAGATCCTCGCCTATGTCGCGGAGAGGATCGATCCACAGCCGGAAGAGCCGGATCCCAGTGCGCTCAAACCGGAAGAGTACCTCGAACTGTATTGCAGCGATACGGTAAGGCTTCTTCTCCTCCCTCCCTCGAACTTTTTTCTTCTTCTTCTTGTTTTCTTCAGACGGCCGACGACTGACCATGGCATCAGCTGTTGCCGAACACGATGACGCTCGCTACGTTGAGAGCGCACATCTGGAAGGGGGGCAACGATGTCATGTTGTACTACAAAGCGAACGGGCGCAAGGAGATTCCGAACAAGAGACCGCCAGGACAACCGGGACACGCAGGGCAAGCAGGTCAAGCAGGTCAAGCGGTAACATCATCATCAGACGCGGATGAGTCTGTTTCGGCGATTGGGGCAGCGGTGGCACCGGCCTCGTCGACGACGGCAGCTTAAAGGCGGCGTTGGTCCAAGTGTAAAAGGTCTCGCTTGATGAGGAAGTATTGGGGTGAGACGTCGACACACCAAGTCATGTTCGAATTGCCGTCTCTCTCTCTCTCTCTCTCTCTCTCTCCCCCCCTCCCGTTTTCACTTTTCTCCCCTTTTCTCTTTCTATATATGTTTATGCCTAGCGGGTATTCTTTTCTAGCCTTATCCTGTCCCACCGGATGAGTTCGTGTATATGGGTTCGTTATTGTACATAGGTAGTAGCGAGAAAGGGCAAGAGCCATGATGATAATGAGCCACCCATGGTCCCTCATCTGTGTTTGTGTTGAGTTTTTAAAAGTGTTACAAAGAGGGAACATGTTCCCGGATGGTCGGAGAGGTCCTGGTCTGAAGGGTGTTCACGGTAAACTGGTAGCTCCCCAAGAAGATGGCGCCGCCGATGCTGATCCAGGTGACGCGGGGCACGGTGCCGGCGAAGAAGGCGCGGTAGCCCTCCTCGCGCCAGACGGCGCGCAGCACGGTGGCGACCTTGACCTTCTTCTCGGCGAGCATGACCCTGGTCTTGAGGACGTCGAGCGGGGTGGTCAGGGCGGCGGCGACGGCGCCGGCTACACTTCCGTACAGGGCGCTCTCGACGGCGCCGACGTCGGCGGTATCGTTGTCGTTGTCGGAGGCGGCGGCGGCGGCGGCTCTCCCCGTGTTGTTGTTCGTCCTGGCCCTGCGCTCGCGTCCCCAGGCCTTGAGCCTCTCCCAGAGGGGGAACTGGATGATGGTGAAGGGCACCTCGCGCATGACGGTGATGCCCCAGCCGCGGTAGAGCTCGCGCCAGACGCCGAGGAGGCCGGCGCGGGGGTGGTGGGCGAGGATGGACTTGAGGGCCTGGAGGGAGGAGCCGGCGTGGTGGCCTGCCTGGGCGCGCTGTTTGACGACTTCGGTGGGGACGCGGACGGCGCAGGCGGCCACTTCGCCGAGGGAGGCGGCGAGCATGTGGTGGAGGGCGGCGGTTTTTGTGTTGCTTGTTGTCGTTCTTGTTGTTGTTGTTGTTGTTGTTGTCGTGGAAGTAGTGGTGGGAGGGAAGGAAGTGGAGATGGTGCTGCGGGCGAGGAGAGACTTGGTCCCCTCGTAGGTGCAGAAGAAGAAGGCGGCGCCGGGGGCGGAGCCGACGATGGCGGAGCCGACGCCGCGGTAGATGCCGGAGAAGCCGCCGGAGGGGAAGAAGCCTGCGCGCGACTGGAGGCGGGTTTTGAGGGTGTCGAGGGGGAAGAGGGAGAGGTCGACTGTGGTGCCGGCTAGTCCGCCTGCGAGGAGGGCGGTGGTGAAAGGGGGTGGTGGGGGGGAGTGGGAGGAGGACGAGGGGGACGGGGGGGACGTCATTGTTGTGAAGGGTATATAATGTGGTCGGGCAATTGGGGGCTGTTTTGTGTCTTCCCTATTCGCAACAAGGCGATGACGGATGACGGGCCGAGGAGCGGAGGGCGCAAACGGAGGAGAGGTGCAAGGTGCAACGGTTAGGGTAACCTGGGGCTTTAGAAGATTGGTTGCTATCGTATTGAAGACCGCATGGTTTCGCGTGCGTTTAGCTGTTCTGGATATGGTGGTATGTCCGGTGGTATGTCCGGTGGTATGGTATAGATGGGTGGTCGAGGGTTTTGGCAGACGTCCGTTGTGAAAAACGATGGTTGATTTTATTTGGAAAGAATAAGAAATAAAACAAAAAATGTCCTCGACTCCGACTCCGGCTCGGAAATGGAGCACTCGATGGACACGTGCCCTGAAATGTACCAGTACTTACATACCTACGCATGTGGGTACGCGACAGCGAATGAGGGTCTAGTTTGTGTTGATCCATTGGACAATTGGTGGTTCCGCACCGTTCATTTTGTACATGTACCATCTCGTAGCTCCAGCGACGTCAGCGAAGAAGAAGTACACGTGAAGAAACGCGCCCTCGGTACGTACTCACGTACTCTGCATCACTAACAACCCAACACCACCACCACCTCGATCACCACCACCAGCAGACCTCTTCCTTTCGCTCCTTCTCCACAACAGACAAACAACCAAACACTTACAAACACCAAAGAGACTCTTAAACAAAACTCCATCTCCACACTGATTGAATGAGCGTCGTACCGCGAGTCTTCCACCATGTCCCCAAACCGATATCCTTCGTCGAGTTTTACGAGGCCGTCCAAGCAACATGTCCTCCGCGTTTCCCAGAGGCATTCTCGTGCGGTCCCATGCCTATAGGTGCGTTTCCTTTCTGCCTACTCGGGCGTTTTCTAGTCGGACCCTTCTGCTCGACTCTCTCTCTCTCTCTCTCTCTCTACCTTGCCGTCTAACGCCATCATCTCATCTCGTCAGCTCTCGCCATAAGTGGAGGTGCCGATTCCATGGCCTTGGCCTTCCTCTTCAACCGACTCCGCGAGTTGGATCCCAACTTCCGCATCGCCGACAGCAACCTGAACTACAAAATCAAAGCCTTCGTCGTGGACCATCGGCTCCGTGCCGAAAGCTCGCGCGAGGCCTCCGCCGTGGCCACCCAGCTGAACCGCATGAAGCACATCACGGCCGAAGTGCTGGCCATCAACTGGGCCAAGGACCTCCGCCACGACCAGTCGGTCGACCTGGAGAACCGGAACCCGGCCGAGCTGCCCAACGTCGAGAGCATCGCCCGCCGGCTGCGCTACCGCCGCATCGGAGCCCAGTGCCAGAACTGCGGCGTCATGAGCCTCTTCACCGCCCACCACCAGGACGACCAGTACGAGACGGTGCTGATGCGCCTCCTGAACGGCCACGGCAGCCGCGGCCTGCGCGGCATGCTGCCCGCCGCCAACATCCCCGAGTGCCACGACATGCACGGCGTCTACGAGAGCGGCCTCCTCGACGACCAGCTGCGGAAGAGGCCCGCCCTCGGCTTCGCCCCGCGCCGCCGGGATCGCCGCTCCATCCGCCGCGAGATGCGCTCCCAGATCGACCTCCCCACCTACATGGCCGAGCTCCGCGCCGGCCAGCAGACAGACCTAGACATTGCCTACTTTGACGAGGAATACGAATACGAAACCCGCACGGGGACCGGGACCGGGACCAGGACCAGGACCAGGACCGCCGTGCCGCCCATCCCGACCGAGGACGCCGGCGTCATGCTGTACCGCCCGCTCCTCCCTTTCGGGAAGGACCGCCTGGTCGCCACCTGCGAGGCCAACGGCGTGGCCTGGTTCGAGGACGCCACGAACCGGGACCCGACCCTGACCATGCGCAACGCCGTCCGCTGGACCTGCGCCCACCACCAGCTGCCCGCCGCGCTGCAGAAGCCGTCGGTCCTGCGCCTGTCGCGCAACTGCCTCGCCAGGTCCCGGGCCCACGACGCCGAGGCCGAGCGCTGGCTGCGCAAGATGCGCATCCACGACTTTGACCCCAACGCCGGCACCCTGGTCGTTGGGCTGCCCGACCTGGCCTTGCCGTCGTCGCCACCGTGGAACGGGAGGACGGGGACGAGGAGGTGGCGCTACAGTCGTCGTCGGAGGGAGCTCCGCCTCGTGCACCGCCGCGTCATCGCCGCCCTCCTGGTTCGACGGCTTCTGGCCTTCGTCACCCCGGATCACCACCTCCCGCAGATCGCTTCCCTGAGGAGCCCCATTGCCCGCCTGTTCCCTTCCATCGGCGACCCGGCCGAGCTGGCCCGCCTCGACAAGGAGCCCAAGCCTTTCAACCAGGGTTCTGTCCTCTTCATCCCTCTGCCTTCCGCTTCTTCTTCTTCTTCTTCCACGTCCTCCTCTCCTTCCACTACATCATCACCCCCCAAATGGTTCCTCACCCGCCAACCCTACCCCTCCAGCAAACCGCTCCCCAGCCTCAGCTCCATCCAAAACGACCACTTCCCGGGCAGCTTCGTCTTCCTCACCTCGCCCTCCACCCAGCCCCGCCCCGAGATGCCCTGGCGCCGCTGGAACAAGTGGCGCCTCTTCGACGGCCGCTTCTGGGTCCGCATCCGCACCCGCCACAAGGGCCTCCTGCGCGTCGCCCCCTTCCACCCGGCCCACGCCAAGGACTTCCGCGACGGCCTCGACCCCCCGGGCCGCGACCTCCTCGCCGACGTCTTGAGGCGGTACGCGCCCGGTAAAGTCCGATACACCCTGCCGGCGCTGTACTCGGTCGAGAGCTGGCCGGAGCGCGATTCTCCGGGGCCTCTTCCGGGGCCTCTTCCTCGTTCTACGCCCAGGCAGAGGGGCGGGGGAGGTGGGACCACGTCTGGTGGGTGGTTGCATGCCTCTAGTGGCGACGGCGAGGGAAAAGACACCACCCCCTCCTCCACCACCTCCTCCACCACCTCCACCACCAGTAGCGGCGGTGGTGGTGGTAGCAGTAGTAACAACAACGACGGTCCGCAACAACCTTCCAAAGGGGAGAAGAGACCCCAAAAACACGCCTCCCCCGTGCTGGAGGGCATCGACATCTGGCGCGGCGAGAAGCGCAGGATCAAGCTGCTGGCGCTGCTCACCATGGGCGTACACCTGCCGGGGCTGGAGGAGTGGGTGGAGTGGGAGGTGCGGTATAAGAGGGTCGACCAGAGGATGCTGGAGAAGACCATGCCGATGGGGTTCATGTCCGCGCTGGCGCCGTCGCCGTCGTGGGTGTCGCCGCGTGGGAAGACGACGATGAGGCCGAGGAGAGCGAGAGCAGTGCGAGGGAGGAGGGCGGCCAGGACGACGAGGGCGAGGGCGAGGGCGAAGGCGAGGGCGGTGCGGGCTCCGGTGGGGAGACGGCGGGTTCCGCTGAGGAGAAGGGTTGCATGACCTACGTTTGTCTGGAGAAAGTCGAAAATAGGCATCTCGTCGGTCGGTCTGCATCAGTACTTTAGATACCCTTGTATAACGCCTGTACAACAAGAGCTTCGCGGCTCCGCATCCATATAGCAAGCCATACCATACTACTACATGCGCGGGCCCCGGGCCTCTATCATATTTCTCCCCGACACAAGTGACCAAGGTCGACACAAGTGACCAAGGTCGACACAAACCGTCAGGAGACAAGAGCACCATCAGTAGTCAAGAGATATCAGGACCTTGCAGCACTAATGCATTATGCGTTTTTCATTCCCTGTCATTCTTCCAGTTCACGCCGAACCCGTACCGTAAAACAAGCCGCGCCCCTGGAGGGTGTGGGGGGAAACTAAAAAAAGAAAGAAAAAACCCTCAACAAGATGGCCTAGCCCTTGTTCACAAGAGTCCATGACCCCAAGCCAGCTCTCCGGCGACCTATGCAGATCTTACATCGACAAGCGGATGAAATCCCGATGCAGTAATCCTTCCGTTTTACGGCTTGTGGATCGCATTAGTTCCCTCCTTGGCCGTATCCTCGGCCTTCTTCTTCGACCGCTGCTGCATCGTGCGGGGGTCGGTCGGGTCGCGGTCCGCCCGGACGGCCTCCTCGCTGTCGGACGCGAGCTCGGCGTTCCACTGTCCCTTGCCCTCCTTCTGTTTCCTGAGGGAATCAGACTTGAGCTCCTCGGTGTATTCGGGGTCGTCTATTCATTTTCCGTTCTCGTGTTAGCGCAATGTCTTTGTGCCGTGCGGTGGGAAATGCAGGGTCAGGAAAGTTGGACAAAGAAAGGACCGAATAGAGCAGAGTCGGAGTCGGAATATGAGAACAGTAATAATAACAAGAGGATAAAAATGGTTGCAAGTCGGAAACATACGTTGGGACGATTCCTTCAGACCAGATCTGTACTGTGTCGATGCTGTCTGGAAGAAGCGGGTAGGGTAGACAATGCCGTGTCTGGCGGTGGTGAAGAGGCTGCGCGCCGAGCGAGTGGTGTAGGCAAGACGAGAAGTCATGGTGTTGGTGATTCTTCTTGGAGTATGCGACGAAGGGGGGGGAGTACGAGACGATGGATATGGTGGTCAGAGGGGTAGAAAGAATATGGGAGAGGGAACAATTAATATCTTTCTCTCTGTACTTTAGAGTTCACTAAACCGGATACACCTACTGTGGGTAGCTACTGCCATGATGCGAGCATTTTGTCTACCTACAACGTACCTAATACGACGTACACGGTAGCTCTTTCCCCTGCGTTCTCCCGCAATACGGGTGCAGAAGCTGTACACTAAGGTAGTGTACGGATACTTGACGTCGTTGTTTTCTTGGGAAGGCGTTATGCTGTAGTGACGTCATCAACAAACGGCACAGACTCGTCTGGATTGGGGATTTCGGACACGGACAAGCCCATTGTCAGGTGGGAGCAGCTGCCCCATACCGGGTAGCTCCCAAGATTCGGGAGCTACTTAGGAGAGAGAGGCCTGCCTTGTCCATACATACAGGTACATCAAACTCGTCACTCGTCATCAACACATTCCCTTCATCCGATGCAGCCGACCATGACAATGACGTTCGTTCATCCTTTCCCCGTGCGGACAGCAAAACATGAGAGTACACGTAGAAGGTAGCGCTACCACTGGGAAAGGAAAGTGGATATATCTTCATCTTTCCAAGTTTTTGCCCATTGGAAACGAAACGCCGCACTATCCAGAGGAGATATAAAGATGACACGACAGACACGACAGACACGACAGCATGCCATGTATTTCCCCTAAAAGGTACCGGCACCTACGCTGAATACGCCCACGGCTCCTCCGCTCTTGATGCCGCCCATATCCTGGCCGTCAGTCACCTCTTCCAGACCCTCCCAACTAGACGACAAGAGACAAGAGAGGCCATTATTTGAACTTGGAACATCGTGTATTGCGCCTCGCTGGCATCTGGTATCTTCAGGTCAGAGCTGTGCCGTAAAAGAGAACACAGTTTCGCATCCTACAAACACCTCCAAACCAAAACTATAAAAACACCAACCGCCGACGTCCAGCGAAAAACCAAACACCGACCGGCTAAACCGCTCAAGAGGTATCCTTTGTGTGTGTGTGTGTGTGTGTGTGTGTGTGTGTGTTCTCGACAACCCAAATAACCTGACCGCTCCAGAGCCCCTGTTTATCGTGTCATGCCACGCTTCCCAAAACAACAACACTCCAGATGCTCTGTATGGAAGGAAGAAAAAAAAACATGTGCGTGCCGGCAAAGATGAGAGAAATCAGGCCTGCGAAACCAGAAAAATCCGGACCAGACAATGTGGTCTTTCGTCTCCCACTCTCATACATGACCTCCGGATGCTGAACCCCGCTCGACGAGACAAAGCCAAAAACCAGGAAGACTATGAAGGTCGTAAGTGGCAAAATAGGGTGTAAAGACCCCCGAGATGAGCACCGAAAAATGGTCAGTCTATAAGACCAACCACGCTCCCCGGTGTCGTCTCGGGAAATCCCACCGCCAAGTGATACAGAGAAGCAAAAGTCGAAAGCCAAATGAGCCCATCTCCGAGCAACCATCAATGTTGTGCAACACTGGATAGTCCAAGAGACAGTCCACCAGCCAGACGATCCGGGCGAGGTAAAAACGAAAGAAAAAAAACCAACGAAAAAAACAAGCCCACAACGATCAACTCCGCCTTTCTCCCATCGAGGAGAGGAAAAGGTAATAAATCCCGAGTACCAACGCTGGAGATTGTCCGCATCCCAATAACACAATCGCATGCCTGCCTGTGCCTGCCACCGCCCGTGATATTTCCCATGTTGAAATCCCGTAACAGAATAACACCTCGATCCCCCCCGCCGCGCGCTCCGAATAAGTTGCTGTAACACCTCTCATTCTATAGAGTTATGTCGAGAGATCCCTCTTTTTTGTGAGTTTTGTTGGCTCGCCGAAAAGATGAGACGGTTAAAAAAATAGGAAAAGACGTCGTAACCCGTGACACTTTGATCCGAACTGGTTGCGAATCATGCGGTCGTAAAATATGCCGAGAATGGTAAAGAAAAAGATTCAGGGAAACCCCAAACAAAACTCCGCCGTGATGTTTGTCGAAACACCAATGCAGGAAATAAATGTCGAGTTGAGATGCATAGACCACCGCTGCGCGAAAAAATTAACGCCCGTTTCGTGCAAGGCCGGCCTCACCCTGGGAGGCCAGACAGAAAACACCGGAATTGTCGTCTTTTTGTTCTGTATGCGAGAAAAGTTGAGACCGGACAGAACATGACGAGAAAAACAAGTGGTATCGATAGATCTTTTTGTCGCCCCGATGGAAGAAATCCGAAAAGATGTCGTCGGCGAGCCCAAGGTATATTGCCGGATTGTTGTTTTTGATACATTTGGGCGTAGTTTTCGCAAGGAAAGCAGCACCCAAGATGTATCGATGCCACTGATGTTGAGAGTTCGTGCCCGGTGCCCGCCAAGGTGAGAGAACGACAAAAAAAACAAGAGCCGGCCGCAAGAGACGAGCGAGCATTAGTAGTAGTAGTCATACACAAATCAACAATTGCAAAGGCTTCAGGCGGTAGCAGAGCCCAGACTTCCCCCGAAACTCCGTCACGAAGTCAAAGAGAAATAATGGACGTCCATTACCACCTTCGGCCCATGGCATGTTGTTGCATGCGGCCGGGCGAGACGGAAGGAGGCGGGCTCGACATGCTGATGCCGGTGACAGGGTTGATGATGGGGATGGCGTTGCGCACGCGGGTGGCAGAGGGCTGGTGGAGCTTCAGGGTCGCTTGCTGGCCGTGATAGGTCTGCGGGTGGAAAGGTGGGGAGCTCGAGCTAAGCGAGAAGCCGGGAGCAATCTGTTGCGGTTGTTGGGTGGGAGACGACTCCGGGGAGTTACTCGCCAGAGAGGAGCGCTCCGAGGCACTTCCGATGGAGACGAGCTGGAGAGGATCAAGCCCGAGTTAGTTTTTTTTCTTCCTCTTTTCGACTTGACGCATCGCGTAAAATCATGGCGACCAATAAATAGATAGGCCGACGAATGAGTGGGTTTACTCACGTCGCTTTCCGTTAGGAGATTGGGGCAGAACTCCATATCATCTTCGAGGTCGAAGGAGCGAGAGACTTCGAATTTGCTGCGGAAGGCAGCGATGGCGGCGGATTCGTTCAGCTCCTTCATGCTCCGTACGCCGCGAAACTGCTTCTGGGAGTTCTGAGAGACGGACAGCCTGGGTTGCCTGCGATTCCGGCCCCCATGGTGATGAGAATGGGACGGGCCTGGAAGGGTCGCAGTGGTGTGTGCTGCCTGGTGGTTGAACTGGTAATACGAAGACATTATTCAAGGCTGGGTGTGACGGTCGTTAGGAAATAGCAAAGTCGCGGTCCGAACAGTTCGGAGAGAGGGTGCCAATTGTATGCCGTTGGTTGGCTTTGGTTCGTTGGTGGTCGCCGCAGGTTGGTGAGGTTTTGAAGAATTGAGTTGTTGAGGATTCTTCCTTTCGCCTGTGGTCGGTCGAGTCGGGGAACGTGGCGGGTCAACGGTTGTGGGGGGAGGTTGTTGTGGCTTATTGGGTGTTTAAGAGGGGGGAAGTGACCCGAGCGCTGCGGTATTAAAATCGTTGCTGTAAGACAAAACAATGAAACCGATCGATGTGTTGGACGAGAGGATGTGTGCGTGACTGAAGCGTGGGCTTTTGGTTGTGAGTGGGATGTCGTGAGATTTCTCTAGGAGAATGTGGAAGCACTTTTTGTGTCTTGTGTGTCTATTTTCTGTTCGCTTTAGGAAGGGGGGAGGGTAAAGAGGAGAGAGGTTGGTTGGAATGGGGTGATTTCGTGGGCAAGGTTTTTTCTGGGAACGAGGACGGGATGGCGAGAGAAGATGGGGGAAGAGATGTGGGAGGGGCGAGGGAGGGGGTGCCGGAGACAGCGATGGGGTTTTGTTGAACCGACCCGAATCCCACACCGCATTGGACAGCACAGTCTGGTGGAGGCTTCAAAAATAGGGAAGAGGTATATACGTACTCTTTCACCAAGTTCACTGCTATGAAGAAAGGCCCGGACAAAGGGCCACGCAGCCCTGTAGGTACCTGCTGTACCGTGCTTTTACCGTACGGCTACGTATTAGGCATAAGACCAGACTCACAACTGGTGCAGGTGGTGCAAGTGGAGTGCATAGAAAGTGGAGAAGGAGTGGAGTTCATTCAGCCAGAGTGGAGAAGAGATGAGGTAGCACTAGCAAAGGTATACGGATCTCTTTCGCCTGCATCAACGAAACGTCCAATAGGAAAACAAGGAACTTTGCTCCTTTCGGACAAAGTACTGTGGCCTCATGACCTGTACCCATTTCAGCCCTCGCCCCTTTCTTGTCATTGGCCAGTTTAGCACCAGCTCTATCATAAACAGGCTAGCGCGCATTCTGATTGGATGTTTGGACGCATCGGTCATCGACCGGCCACCATAATAAACGAGGATGGACAGTGCGATCCGCAAGATTACCTACCTTACCTTACCTTAAGGTACCTTAGGTCATTATGTACGTTGTATGTACAAAGTGACGCGGGACACATGGATTTCGCTAGCTTGCTGGTGAGTTGCATGGTGCCTCTTGCGGATTGGCCGGCAAATGGGTACTTGGCGGCTCAGGGGGCGACACGGCACTGCACTGTGGCCTCGGGCTCCGAGGGACGAAAACAACCCAGGGACTTGTCGACGTTGTCTGTGGCGTGACGCTTGCGGCGAGATTAGAAGCCCACATTTCCAACGTATGGGCCCACTGCCACCAACACAACGGAAACAGCACGAAGACCGAAGACCAACACGTGTAGGAGAGAGAGGCGATTTGCATGATACTCCGTAATATCGAGACTTTCTTTGTACTATCCCACGATAATCAGGGAGCCGACACTCTGCATTCATGGCTCTCACAATAGCAAGTCACTTCCATATCGCACTTGTTCTGGTATCCTCCCCCTGCTCGCTTCTCGGGGTATTATGGAAACTTCAATTGTTTCTTATTCCGAAGAATCCTCCTGGACTCGCAAAGCAACAAGTCCTCAGAGGACTTCCAGTCATCCTATATCGCACACTGTGCGTATTTTCGGCCTCCGTGTCAGCTGCGAGGCCTTGAAACCTCGTCTCCTTAGCGCCATTCCCGGCCTGGGAGTTGAAACTTCAGGCTGCACTGCAGACTGTGCGGGTCCTGCAAGGGTCCCCTGTTTCCTCGAGGTCAGGGAGGCTGAGGGAGGACACTCTTGATACTTTCTTTGTACGGGCCATTATTACTTCGTACTTCGTATATACCTTAGTAAGGTATCGAGTCAACGGGGCGGTATCACTTAACGAGTATCTCCAGCGTACGAGCGTGGTACAAAGCAGCTATGTACATGGCCCGTGGCTGGGCCCAGGCCCCTTGCTTTTTGTTGAGCGGCTAATGACTCCGAAGTACCACTTCGTACGAACGAACAGAGATACAGAAGCAGTGGCTGGTGGGTGGCGGGAAGCGCTGGCAAGCGCCTGCGACCATTCTGGTCCTTCAAGTTTGAAAACACGACCAGTTCTCACAGCCATTTGTTGCGACAGCGACTGTATCTGGAACAGCATCAGCGGCTGGCGGCAGCAGGAGACATGATCTACGGATTACATATGCCAAAGCTTTGGCTGCCATGTTCAATCGTTCGCAGCAGATGCAGCAGATGCAGTCTCAAATTGCAGACACCGACAGGCAATGGTAGGGAAGGGTAGTGTTGGGTAGGTAGTATTGGCCTCGGATCCGAGGCCTTGAATGTACGAAGTAGTGTAGTGATTACTCCGTAGCCTCCAATCTGTTCTCCGCGAGTGTGTGTAACTTTTCCCCGATATTCGACACGCGAGAGTTGGGTTGACACACACAGAGATGGCCTTGAGATTCTGGGGAACATTGCCAGTCATGGAACGGAAAGGTACTCCGTATGTACTTCTGTGTGTTATGTACCTGGGAAGTCGACTGTTTAGGTACATAAGGTACCTTGGTCGATGCTTTCTTTCACTTGGTTGGCAGTGGCGAAGGGAGGACGAAAGGCCAATGGAGGGAGCTTGGTGAATTGCGATTTTGGGTCATCCCTACGAAATATGTACACTAAGGTACAGTACAATGATGGGCCCCTCCACACAGCCATTTTCCCTGGATCCTTGAACAGGAAATGCCTTGGAAAGAAATCAGTGGTCGATTCAACGCCGATCGATCCCTCGTCCGGCCAATACCCATCTGTCTCGTTGCACAGACCCGCACAACACTTGCAGCCTGCCTGAAAGCCTGCAGGACACGCACCAATGCACCGATGCCACCACACGAACACTTACAGTATTTCTCGTGGACTCGTGGACTCGTGGACCGTCCAGAAGGACGGAAGAAAAACGAAGAAGATGGTGGTGTGGGGATGATACTCGACGATATCCATCCGGGATAGCTCTTTGGAGCCCCAACCATTCAGAACCTCTCCCCGACTCATCTCATCACCCTTTGTCCAATCCGATGTTGGTGTCGCCCTCCTCCCTCGAAGGAGCGAACTCGAGGGGTTCCCCTTTTCTTTCAAGTCAACTCGGGCATAGCTGCATATCCATGGCGGCCTCTCCTAGCCTCAACGAGTTGTACACTAGAGCTACGTTGCTCTTGGACGAATAAGTCATAATCAAGAGGCGTTCAAAAGAGGAGAGGCGGTGTAATTATTGTTCATGTCGTAATACTTCATACCAAATTGAGACGTCCCCAGCCAGCACGAGCCGATATGCGATCTGCGATCTGGACGTCCACGTCTGGCCCTGTGGTACGGGATCCTCGTACCTGTACGAACCCGCAGAAGTGCACGTACTTTTGTAATGTCCGGGCTCAAGTCGACAATGCGAGGAAGGAGAAGAAAAAAAAGATAAAAAAAAAACAAGACGGGTGAGAGAAACAGGTAATGCCTCGTACTGGAATCGAACCAGTGATCTCCTCATTGCATACTAGTGAGGCGCTTTACCACTGAGCCAACGAGGCGGATAGAACCCCGTACTGGGGCACGGAAGCGAATGCGGCTACGGCCGTGAACAAGGTCACAATCTCCATCGTGGACAAGCGCCGGCGTCACCCAATCGCCAATCTGCACGTCATGTTCCAATCGAGGTGGCTTCAACAAGTTGAACCCGGTTCAACGGGGACGCCGAATAATTAACCGTCACGGTCGTAATTGTACGAAAGTAATGCATTGGGCAGACTGTAGACTGGACAGCCTGTAGCTATAGTAAGACTTGTTGATGGACAGGCTGACATCCGGTTCACCGTTCTGGTTAATAGGGACTTATCAATTAATCACTTTTCATGCGATGGACAATGGCCTCACACGAAATACTCTGGTCCCACCGCGCGGAGTTGACGGCCGTTGACCCGGAGCAAAAACCGGCTCCCGGCCGAGTAAACGAGCCTCGGCCCCCAAACCCCCCCACGTCGCATGTCAAGCCTCGCAGTGGCATTGAAAGTTGTCCTCCCGATAAGCTCCTCGTTTTGCTCAGCAAACCATGAGATCACTGGAGCCCAAACTAGCTTCGGCAGCCGTCACGGCGTCGGCACTTGTCTTGCTCGCCGCATACCTCCGCATCCGTCCCGCGCTGATACGGCCCCCATCCGATACGGCCCCCAAGCCACCGGCCCGTTCTCCCAGATGGCGGCTACCACTTGAAGAAGGGGTGCTACCGCCTCGTCATCCGTACCCGCTCGATCTTCTTCCTGGAGGTCGGGATGTCGAGACGCCGTATGGCTTCTTGAGGGTGTATGAATGGGGGAGTGAGGATGGCCAGAAAGTCTTGCTCTTACACGGCATCGGAACCCCGTGTCCCGCGTTGGGTGAGATGGCCAGGGAGCTCGTGGAGAGGGGCTACCGGGTTATGTTGTTTGGTAGGTCTATTCAAACACTCCATGGCCCTTAGTTACCATCTGCTGGTGATGTTTCACTATCGTGATTTCGTGAAACCCCTTTTTGTCAGACGGATGTATTGCCTACCCCCCCATATCCCATGTCCCATGTTCTGGTTACACGAAAAAAAAGGGGGATTTTTTTTACACTTAAACGTGCCAGGCTCTCAACAGTACAAGAAAAGAATTCCATGTTAACCTCGCCTGAAACTGCTTGCAGACTTCTTCGGCCGCGGCTACTCCGACGCGCCCACCGACCTGCCCTACGACGCCCGCCTCTACGTAACCCAAATCCACCTAGCCCTCGCCTCCTCCCCGCTCGCCTGGTCCGGCGCCAACGCCTTCCACCTCATCGGCTACTCGCTCGGCGGCGCCGTCGCCGCCTCCTTCGCCCGCTACCACCCGCATGCCGTGCGATCCCTCGTCCTCGTCACCCCGGGCGGCCTCATCCGCTCCCACCACGTCTCGCGCACAAGCCGGCTTCTCTACTCGGAGGGCGTCCTCCCGGAACCTTTACTCCGCCGCCTCGTCCGCCGGCGCTTGGAACCGCGTCCCAGTTCCCCCCCGAGCGGCGGCGGCGGTACAGGAGACGGAGGACAGGCCTCCTCGGAGTTTGATGACGCGGTGATCGACCCGTCGCGTCCTGGCCTGCGCGTTGCCGACCTGATGGAATGGCAGCTGCGTCGACATCCTGGGTTTGTCCCGGCGTATAGGAGCACGCTGCGCCACACGCCTATCTACGACCAGGGCGATGCGGAGTGGAAGCCCCTGCGCGGCATCTTGGCTGCGAGGAGGCAGAAGGGGGCGGTGGGGGAGGGGTCAAAGCTGCCCGGGTTGACGGGTGGCAGGATCTGCTTTGTGCTGGGGGAGACGGATTCGATATCCGTGCCAGAGGAGATCGGGGAGGACGCGAAGCGTGTGCTGGGTGATGAAGCGGTCGTCATTGAGGTCGTGAAAGGGGCTGGACATGAGGTCGGCATTACCAGGGGAAGAGATGTTGCGGGCCTGGCGGTGGAGTTTTGGATGTCTTCTGAGCAGGCTACGTAGTAGGCTTCTTTGTTAGAATAGCGGTAGATGTCTATAGAGTTGCACAAAATATAAGACACCAGTATAGAATGCTCGTGCAAGAGCCTAGTCACGTTTCTATAGCTTCTCCTACAGATTCCATCCAAGACAAGTCCGCCCTAAATAGGGCCTGCCGGTTGGGTCGTACGAATTCCACTTGTCTATTTGCATATGTATACATCTATAGGAATGTATATACAAACGCATTGCCTCAGTCCATGCATCGTATCTCATCAATACTCATAGCTCATGATGCTCCGGTCGGCGTAGGTAGCAGCGTCTTGCATGCACGCCACGACCGATCCTACCTGGTAGCCCAAACAACGCAAGTCGTTCCCATGCATGGATATATATCCGCGCGGCCATGACTTCCATAACTTCCGCACCCTGTCCACAGAATAGCAGCCCTTCACTTATCTAGACCGCGAGCTTTGATGAACCGGTTAAGCTGCTCCCTGGTCAATTTGTCCTGATATTGCTCATGACACTCGTAGAACGAGATGAGCTCCTGGGTGCAGTCCACCATGGCGGCAACGTCGACGTTGCTCTCGGCAAGCCAGGCACCGAAGCGCTGCACCCGACCGATCCACCCCTCGGGCTGCTTCTCTTTATCCGCCGCGCTGGACGCGCCAGGGGTGCCGGGAGGTATAACATTATTCGGCCCCCGGGCCTGTCCTTGTCCCTGTCCTTGTCCTTGACCCTGGTGTTGTTGTTGTTGTTGTTGTTGTTGTTGTTGTTGTTGTTGTTGCTGCTGCTGCTGCTGCTGCTGTTGTGCCTGCGACTGCACCTGCGCCAGCGCCGCCGTAGCCGCCGCAATACCCGACGAGGTGGGCAGCAGTTGCGCGGGGAATCCGCAAGACGGCCGCAGCACCAGCACGAGCAATACAGCCGTCAGGGCGACGATGTGCGGCGCATACAGCAGGGGGAGGTCGGTCATGTAGTGGTCGTTGATGATGGACCAGGCGAGGCTGACGTCCTCCTGGGCGAGGCCCAGGTCGGCCTGGTACGCGGTGAGGGTGCGGTAGGGCTGGTGGACGATGAGCTGGGAGCTCATTTCCGAGATGATGAAGAACTCGCACTCGCCGAGCCTGGAGGTGTCGAGGCCGAGGAAGTCGGGCCAGAGGGACCGCGCCTCGCTGACGATCAGCCGGATGTGCTGCGGGCACTCCTCCATCTTGCAGGCGAGGTAGACCGCGGTGGCGAGCACGAGGTAAGGGTTCGTGCGCCGGATCTCGACTTTGGTGTAGAAGCGTCTTATGTAAACTTGGGCCGTGGCCATGGCCTGTTGCCGGACGCCGAGCCGTTTGCCGAGTCGGTTGATCTCTGTCAGGGGAGGAGGATCCCGTCAGTCTGTCACTGTAGTGTCAAGAGGAATGGAGGGGGCAAGTGGACGACGGGGGACTCTTCAAGACATACGCTGGTTGAAGTAGATACTTAGGTGACGCAGCTGTGGAAGAGGGAAGAGCTGGTTGAGTTCGGCATTGTCGTCTTGAAGCTTCTGGCGCATGGAGGCTAGCTCATCCTTGGTGAAGAGCCAGTACCGTCGCTGGGTCGAATCCCAGAAGTTGGCGGCCATGTCATGGTCTGGTGTAGCGACTCCGACACCGTCTACATTGAGAGAGGCGACGATAAGCGTAGCGATAGGAAGGCATGCGTTTGGGGTCAACAAGAGGAGGGAGCGGAGGACTGTGCGACCCCGAGGCTGAAGTGTAGGGAACAAGACGGTGAAGCTCACGAGGCTGGATGATGGGAGTATAAAGTGGAGAAGCAGTGGGGTGTAAGTATATACACACACCCAGGTGTACTCCAAAGTTCTAATCCGGTTCGGGTCTAAGCATAAAGCCATATAAGGGCGTGGTAATGACTGTTTTGGCAACATGGCAAGTCGTGCTGGCGCAATGGTAGCGCGCCAGCCTCCTAAGCTGGAAGTTACGAGTTCGAGTCTCGTGTACGATGACCTGTCAATGTTTTCTCATTACATTTTTTCTTTTTTGTCCCCTTTTGTTTCTTTTCCCACCTAGAAGGCTTTTATTTAGTACTTATAGGGAGGCAGGAAATCGAGACTAAATATAAACTAATATCCAAGAGTGAGGCTAACGGTTTAATTAAAGTGGTGACTTAGCTAGTATAATATAGATTTATTAGAACGCCGAATATAGTTATTTAGTAGCTTCTGATCCTATTAGTATTCTCGTAGTCGTAACCGTTAGTTTAAGATTAAATTATAGGCAAAGTCTTCGTAGTATATAATATTTAATAGTCTAAAATCGAGGCCTCCTATTACCCCGTTTAATCTTATAATTACGTTACCGTAACCTTTAATAGGTAGCGACGAGCTGCCTACGACTATATAGTCTCCCTACGTGGCGGGTATAAAATCAGAAAAACAGGAAAAATCGTTAAAAATATAAATAGTGGCACCGGAATCGAGGATAGTAGAGGGTCGAAGAGGGTAACTAGTAGTAGCGCTTCCTGCTATAAAGCTAGCGGCGTAGGAAACGCCGTTATAGTTAAGTCACGTCTCTTTAAGCTATACAGAGTCCCGTCCTATATCCTTCTTTACCTTCTTTATAGCGCGTAGTTCTTTTACTTCCGCGCGTATCGTAGGGTCGTATTAGAGGATCCGTTAAACGGTTATTTTAGTACTATTATAAGTAATCTAACCGTCCGTTACTATTTCCGGGAATAGGTAATAGCAGGCGTTAATATTATAGCTAGGCATAGTATAAACGCAGTAGGGTTCCCCTTACCGGAGAGCAGATTAACGTCTTTTAGAAGAAGAGCGGTTAGTTAAAGTAATAGAGGAGGTGGCTATAGATACCGCGGTAATAGGATTCTTAGCTTTATTCTTCCTATAGCCGCCTTTCCTTTTAGGCTTAGCCGTGGTCTCTAAGGTCTCTTTACCCTTTTCGCTTCTAGTATATAGTGCAGGGAATACTATAGCGCGATAGTTACCGCGCTTTCCTTAGTCTTTAAGTCTAATCTCGATATATCGTTATCTAAGGGTATAAAGATTCTCGGGTTAGATTACTTCCTTATCCAGGAGGCGTCTCTTAGCTTCGGTCTAATTACGACTAGCGATACTACGGATACCTCTAAAGAAGTCTACTACCTAAATATACATTATAGGCGTTAATTTAACCTCTTCGAGGTGCTTGAATAGTTCCTACTATCTTACTAACCACTCCTATGGCTTCTTAAGGCTATTCAGAGCAGTACGGATATATTCGTTATATTCTTCGTAGATATCCACGCGGCGCGTAGTCACGTAGTAAGCGGTATCGCGTTAAATAGCTTTATATACCTTTTAAGGCGTGGCGTTACGTAGGAGCAGCTTACGGCTTTTATCGATTATCTTAGTCTACCACGATAGCACGGCGTTAATACCTTTAGCGTATTTATAGTGTTTATCCCTTTATATTTTCTAGCGCTATATTATAGAGTCGTAGGCGCACTAGCCGCCGGCTATTAGATCTAATAGCTATATAGGCGTAGCGCCGATTTACGTTACCACGTTTAACGCTTAGAAATTATTATAGGTAGATAAAATAGGGTGTTAAGAAGGGGGAATAGAATTATTAAGCCGTAGATACTCCTATACTTTATTATTAACGGCCGTAGCTTCGTAATAGCTACGCTAGAGCTCCTAATCGCGATAGGTTTTATAGGTAATAGGCTGGTATTCCGTTATCTTAAAAGTTATTTATAGATTAACACGCTATATCGGCGTAGCTAGATAGCTTCTTAAATCGGTAGTAATAGTAGAAGTAAAAAGATAGTTAATTCACTTAGTAAGTAAGACTCTTAATTATTAGATAAAACGTAGTTAAAATCGTTATAAAAACGGTTAAATTAATTAAGGCACTGGTGTATAATTATAACTGTGTTAGACTGTTAGAGAAATCCTGCTACCGTAATATTAGTAGTGAAAATTCTGCAGGTGTTTACCTGGATTATACTCTTGGTAATCCGGCCCGTTACGTAACCGAAAAGACCATGGTCTGTTCGACATAGTCTCGTTTCGCCCCTTCCTTTATTGCCAGGTTCAGTTTGCCCCGTCACGACACGCTTGTCCCTGGCTATGCGCCATCTTAGCAGCCCTTTTATTGTTCGCTATCGATTGAACCGCCTTGGGGTTCGCTCTCTTGCGTCTTCGGTAGCATACCCGCCTGGCGGTCTCTGCCCCCTCCAGCAGCCTGTCCTGCTGCACGGGTGCTCAACCATCACTCGCTCTGCGAGCGTTGCCAACTTAACGACCCTGTCGCGCATAGCAGCGTTCCCTCCCAGGATGAACGGTCACGGTGACATCAATAATGCCCACGCCGGTCGCGCCGTCATTGAGATCCCCGTGGAGGAGGCATACCTGGAGCGGTCCCTGGCAATGGCTGCAGAGGACGACGATCCGGACACGCGCGCCCGCTACCGTCCTTTTATCTTGCCCGACACAGCAGCCGAAGACGATTGGGTGGCTAAGCTGGAGCTCACCGCGGCAATGAGCATGGTCGACCGCGAGATTCTGCAGCGCGGCGCTCCTCGGCTGCGTATCCTCGTGCTGGTCGGTAGCTTGCGAAGCCGTTCCTATAGTCGACTCTTGGCATACGAAGGCGCCCGGATTCTTGATCGACTGGGCTGCGATGTTCGCGTTTACGACCCATCTGGTCTGCCGCTCAAGGATGATGTCCAGCATGAGCATCCAAAGGTGCAGGAACTTCGACAACTGAGCATGTGGAGCGATGGCCAGTTCTGGGTCAGCCCGGAGCAGCACGGCGCCATTACGGGCATCTTCAAGATGCAAATTGACTGGATTCCGCTCAGCGCTGGGTCGGTGCGCCCGACGCAAGGCCGTACCCTTAGCGTCGCGCAGGTCTCCGGTGGCTCACAGAGCTTCAACGCAGTCAACACTTTGCGCCTTCTGGGTCGGTGGATGCGCATGTTCGTCATTCCGAATCAGAGCTCTGTGCCCAAGGCGTATACGCAATTTACGCCTGAGAACGACGAAAAAGGACAAGGGGCTTCTCGCATGATCCCGAGCTCTAATCGCGACAGACTGGTAGATTGCATGGAGGAGCTCGTCAAGTACACCATCGTTATGCGGCCGCATTTCGACCTCTTTCGCGACAGATTTAGCGAGAGGATGGAGAAAAGGGTGAAGATGGCCGCGCCTTGAGAGCCTGTAATTCGTTACCTCTCTTCAACATTCATATTCCCCTTCTTGTCTGCCTCTCCGGCTGTGTGACTCTCGACCATGGTTCTCCTAGCATTCGTAACACGTCATGATCTCTCAATGTTTCTGAAGCTCTGCTGGGGACGCTTGCGCCACTTGATTTGACTGCATGCTGAATAGCGCAAGCCGCCGAAGGCAGCGGCGACTGTACCAAGATGTTACCTCACTGTGCTATGCTAAATCACGAGCCGCTGCTAACGAATGACAAAAGACTGAACAGTACGTCTCTATGAACTTGGCAACCACCTCCTGGCTCCAACGACTTGCGGAAGCCATTCCATAGCCACATTGCTATGAACTCCTGACTGACACCCATGGAGTTCTGCGCAGCAATAAGAGCCTCCGCATCAGAGCACAGGACCGTGGGTTCATTGCCTGCACTCGCGTTGTAATAAAACTCTGTCGCAGTCAGGAAGAGGCAGTTAGGCAATGAGCGGCCGCCCTCACGAGTCCGGGAACGCGCCGCTCGGAGTGAGGCGTCGGGTCCCTCCAACCAGTCAGTTTGCGAGCTTGGCGTCCGTAAAGTAGAATCCAGTGCATTTCGTGGCTCCACATAAGAAGTAGGCACGTCGGCCGACTGAGCGGTCGGTGATACTCTCGTGAGGCCATGGCAGATAGCCAGGCAGCGGATGATCTGCAGCGGCGGCAGGAAGTGCAAGTGCAGCCGTGACACAGTACTGCTTCGTTTCATCGCCGAAGGGCAGGCTCATGGTCAACGGGTGGGAGACGAGGCTGAAGCTTGACAGTCTGCTCCTCTCGACTGAGCTTCATTTCCAACGTTTTAATGTATGCTCTGCGCCGAGCGCGATGCTGACGCTGGTTATTTCGAACCCTCTCCAGCGTGTGCTGCGCAGGTACCTTTCGGCGTTTGGATCGAGGGTTCAGCAATGTGGGTGATCCTGGAGCCATGATGACATGCGCCGGTGGCTCTATTGGAGATCGCGAGTGAGGGCGCGTTTTAGGCGGAAGCAATGATGATTCAAAAGTGCCAAGTGCCTGGGACTAAATGTGAGGAGTCAGTCTTCAGCCAGCATCATCAGACACAAGCAACCATTCCCTCGTTTCTATACATTTTGTCAGACAAGATCCGTATTATTACCTTACCTTAGTGAATAAGTGTACACTATAAGGTATGGCACGAGTTATCAAGGAGCTGGAACTTCGCCAGAAAAAGGTACCTTATTCGTACAATGTACACCCGAGACTTCCAACTCCCATTACCACAGCTCGCAGCTGCGTCCCGGTGAGGTTGAGGATTTTCAAGATTATGTACGTCTCATGGCACAGGTTTAAGTTTTGATTACTCCTTACCTACAGAAGATACTTTCATGCCAATTTCCATACCTGCCTCAAGGTAGGTACCGTAGTCAGCCAAAGGCCCGGTACCTACCTGAGGTAATCTGATTTACCTAGGTATAATAACAGTAACGGAGTGGGAAGCCAGGGTCAGTCTCTACTTCCTCCGCCGTGGCGAAGTAGGAGTAGAAGTCAAGGTCTGGACTCTGGCGTGGTCACACGGTTCGCCTAAACCTCCATACCTTACCTTACCTAGGTAGGTAGGTACGAAAAAGGCTGGGCCTTTATCGAGGAGAAAGTCATGATGAGCATGCCAACGAAACGTCATGTCTTACAAGGCTTAGTGTAGGAAGCAAGGCACACCTGAGGTGCCAAACACCAGCCTCGCTTCTCCTTTTCTTGTGTCATTAGAAGGCCTCGCCGCCTCCGACAGTCCCTACTTCTAGACGCCAATCGCACCTGGGCCTTTCGCATTTCCCCTTCTCTCTTACCATGGGCGACGTTCGTTATGGGAGCCGCCTTCAGTCCTTTCGTCTCTCGCCGGAATTGGCCTCCTTGCCGCTTCGGTGGCCCAAGCGGAAGTCACCCTGACGACCCCTTTCAGGGAGATTCCGGGAAGGAGAAGCTCCGTCTGTGGTGGGGAAATGGAATTTGTAGGTCATTAGGTATTCAAATAGGTGTCTGATAAGGGATTTCATGCATGTGCCGAGTTCTCAAGCGTTCGGTATGTCGGCCACTTTAGGTCGTTTGAAGATAAGATATCTCGAACACCGGCGGGCGCTGAAGATGACGACATTGGTACCGTAAGGTAAGCTGGGTCGTCGGCTCCGTTGTCATTATCTTCCTTGTTTATCTCATGAAAAGGATAAGGCGACAAACTCGAGTGACTCTCCCACCAAAAAAAAAAAAACCGTTAAAAAGCCAAGGCAAGGGAGCAGCCACATTGACTTATATAAGACACGCGCAAAGCCTGTTCCCGTCGTATTACGACTCACCTAACTTCAGTAACCGGGTCGACGTTCGAGGCTTTTTCCTATAAGACCGGAGACGAGACGGGCTGCGGAATTTCTTCGGCATCGAGGACGACAGAAAGGACAGAAGTGCGCATTGGATTTGTCTCTCATTTTCAATCATACCGACTGCCCCACGGGCTCCCTTCACGCGGTTCTCCGACAACTCAACTCAGTACTTATCATGATTGGGGTCGCAGCTGGTCCGCCTCTGCCTCTGGCCGAGACGCCGACGAGAGGACGGTCGAATACCTGGAGCTTCAGTAATGTGAGTCGAAGACGTTTTTTCTTCCTCTCTTTGCCTCCCTTTTTTTAAGCCTCCTCTATCCTCATCTCCACTATCGGCATGCAAGTGTTCTGGGCATCCCACCCACATCGCCAACCCCCGTTTTTTCTTCTTCTTCTTCTTCTTCTATTTTGTTTTTCCTGTATCCAGGCCCGAGGCGGTGTGGGACGTTTTCAGTAGCTGGTGACGAGAACGGTCTCGACGCAGAGGCAGACGCAGCTTCAAAGCTGGTTGACGAGACGATGTGGCCTGCTTCGGATTCCAACGCCATTCAGTCAATGGCATGATGTCTTTTAGTGGAGACATTTCCGGTTCCCCTGATCATCGTCAACACACTGCAGAGGACTCCAGTCGACTCTTGTAATCACATCATGCGAGGTGCCAGTGGATTATTACGAGATGTCCTTCTGTCAGACCTCAGTTGAGAAGCCTTTGTCGTGGGGGGCGCACGAAGGAAGGATGTAAGGGTTCACTGCCAAGCGGTGGCCTGATCACCATAGGGTTCTGCGAGTGCACGGTCCTTCGGCAAATCAGTCGTATTTTGTCTTGTACCTTATATGGATGCTTGTGGCACTCAAGCACCAAACTTTCTCACATTGGGGAGTTGTCTTCATAAAAGAAAAGAGAGGAGGAGGTGAGGGGGAGAGACTTCCATCTTCATCTTTTGGCCCTGTCCTAGCGGGACAAATATCCTCCTTATCCGTACTTTACCTTACCTTACCTTATTCCCCGCCCTAGGTACCCGTGTGCCATATTCAAATATTCAAACGTTAGGTTTGATTTTCCATCTTTCCATGCTGCCTTCTGTCTTGGATCTCTTGCCGAGCTTTGACCCCAACTTCGGCCGGGCCTGTGGAGGTCCCCTTTAGTCGCAGCAAGGCTCTTTTTCATTCTCCCCGGCGGTACCATGATCATCATCAAAGATGCTTGGTTCTCTCGGCTGTGCCTGTCCGTGGGAGGGGGTCCTAAGAGGTTGAGCCGGGCCAGGCGGACCAATCGAACCTGCTTCCTCGTCAAACCCGTCAAGCCCGGGTCCTGAGATTCCCGATCGTCACGGAACCGAACCCGCTCATGGGGGAAGAAAAGAAGGGCAAAAATCCCTTCTCGGTTTGCTTTGTAATGATTTTTTTTTTCTTTCCTTTTTTTTCTCTTTCCTTTCTTCTTTTTCTTTTCTTCTTCCTTGGCTTTCCATATCCGCTTTTCCCTCTTCCCCTACGTCTTGGTATAAATACTTTCGTCGTATCCGTACATGTACTACCACTCTTTGTATACATGTCACCTCCGTGGCGCCTTCCTACGTATCCCGACACCGCTTTTCATCGTCCCCCCATTACGGATACTTCTTGCTTCCCCTTCCCCTTCCCCATCACCCCCACACTTCGTCACGACCCAATCTGACCAATCTACCCCATCTGTATCCCCTGCCTTTTCCCCCTCACATCCCGTCCAGCCTACATACCTTACATACTACCTACACTTCACTACTGTAGTCTAGCACCTAGCCGTCCGTCCTAGGCCCCTGCCCAGTCTAGGTTGTCAGTCACTTGATCACATACCATCTCGAGCCATTCCGAGGCTTTTGGCTTTTGAGCCGTCCACTGTGGCTTGTTAACGACGAACTTCCACCATCACTACTACATACAACGTACACATACGTCCCTCGCCCTCACCGTCCTGACGCTAAAAACTCCATTCTGGGCTGTCGTTGGTGACTTGGCAAACTGAGCAGCTGCATATTCCAGAGTTCCCGGGAAAGCTCACCCTGTCACTGTCCCTCGTCAGCCGGCTACACCGACCGTTTCTGGTATCTGGACTGAGCTTGAGCTGCAACTTTTTGATTGCCACGATTCCAACGAACCAGCCTACCCTAGCTACTTTGGAGTCCACTTTCATCGTCACGCGGTGCACAATACACTTTCTTCTTCTTTTTTTTTCTTTTCTTTCGTTCTATTTTTAATCTTCACGATTAATGGGAAGGGACCGCCAAATACCCTCTCCCTTCATGTGTTCATCTCCAATACCTCCATTTTTACCTTCAATTTCTTCGACGTCGAGACCACCGAACCCACAGACAACATGGTTCGATTAACTAATGGCATGGGGGTGCAGGTGGAGGATACCAAGATCGCCGTGGTCATGGTTGGCTTGCCGGCTCGGGGAAAGAGCTTCATTGCCCAGAAAGGTGAGGTCACTTCTATCTCTCGCTCTTGCTCTCCTTCTCTCCTCTTTGTCTTCCTCTTCCTTTCTTTCTCCTCTTCCTGACCTCTCGCGAATCATCTCGACTAACGTGGCGCCCACTCTCAGCGCAACGCTATCTCAAATGGCTCTCCATCGAGGCCAGGACCTTTAACGTAGGCAGCTATCGACGTGAGTCGGCCGCCCAGCCCACCGCCGACTTCTTCGACATGAAGAACCACGAAGGAGAGCGCATGCGCCGGGCCGCCGCCGAAGCCGCCATCAGCGACATGGTCACCTGGTTCCGCGAGTCCAACGGCACCGTCGCCATCCTCGACGCCACCAACTCCACCAAGGAACGCCGGAAATGGGTGGTCGAGCAATGCAACAAGGAAGGGATCGAGGTCCTGTTCGTCGAGAGCAAGTGCGACGACGAGGAGCTCATCATGGCCAACATCCGCGACGTGAAGACCACCTCCCCGGACTACGTCGGCCTCGACCCAGAGGAATCCGCCCGGGACTTCCGCGAACGCATACGCCACTACGAAAAGGTGTACAAGTCCATCGACGAGGACGGCGACGAGGGCCACCTTACTTTTCTCAAAATCATGGATGTCGGCAAGCAGGTCATCATCAGCCGCATTCAGGATTATCTGCAAAGCCGCATCGTCTACTACCTTATGAATCTGCATATTCGGCCTCGTTCCGTGTGGCTATCAAGAGTAAGCTGATCTCCCACCCCCCCAGTTTTTAGCTCCTCGAGCCGGCGGGACACA